GTACTAGTTGTGGTATTCGAGTTAGAGTAGTTTAGTTAAGTTTTAGTTGTATTATTTAGACCTGACACAATTTCAAATGCTTTATTTAAATCTATAAGTGATTTTCATCTCTACTATTTAATTCTGGGTTTGTACATTTTAATGTTTTTGATTGGTCGTATCTGAAAAATGTGATCTGAATGTGGGAAACTTATATTGATAACGTAAGAAAATTATAATGATCATCATGGTTTGACAATTTTCCAATAATTATCTGCAATTATTGTAACATTTTAATCAATGTCATACTGAATTGATCATTGAGTACTTTATAACCCTACTTATGATTTTTAAATCAACTTTTACGTGTTAATTATGCTATGTGTATCAGTGTTGGCCAGTGTTGGACTATGACCTGTTATAACCTGTATGACCTATATGACTAGTCATAGGTCATACAGTCATAATAAAGATTATATGACTTATGACCAAAAATATTAATTAACCAATAAAATAGCAGTAATGATAAGTTCATTTTAGTTAAGTAAAATGATAATAAAATATAGTTAGCAAAATATACAATACATATAACTTTAAGTTTATAATTAGCAATCTAGATTTTTAAAAAGAACTCAAGTATATTTAACTAAAAAAGATCTTGTGACTTTCATCTGGATATACTTGCACCTGGATATAATATATATATACATATACTGTGTAAGGCAAAAATTGCTTTAAAATAAGTTTTGGTCAGAATAGAAATGTCTTACTATAATACTACACTAAAACTATACAAACTAAACTATTTTAACTAAATTCTAATAGTGGTAAGCCTCAATTGAGGCATTGGTCCAAGCAACTGGATCAATTAGAGCTCTAGATTATGTCACAGGTCTTTTAATATAGAGTCACGAGATTTAGTTAGATTTTTTACTTATTGGGGATTAGTAGAGCAAAATGCTTTAAATATTGAACTTTGGCTAAGTTATTGTATTGAAGACAAAAAGTAGTGTTTTTATACTTTCGCACTATCGCTATTAGTTTGTACACAATGAATAAGATTTACTCGAAAGATATTTTATACAGCTATTTGCAACAATAAAATTACTAATTTAATATTTATTTATATATAAATAAATGAATCAAATTGATATTGACAATAATAAAACGAATTCAAATAGTCCTTTTATTACTATAAGACCTTTGATCAATTATTATATTGACAATAATAAAACCAAATACAAATAGATCTTTTAATATCAGAAAACCTTTGATTAATCACTTGAAACTCACAATCAAAAAGAATATAAATTGAGCTTTAAGATATATATAACTAAAATAAACCGGGCTTATAGCACAAATGTATACTAAACAAAATACAATATGATAAAATTCAAATAGTTCATAATACATAAAAAAAGCAATTTATGATGTTTGATATTCTATAATATTAATAAATGTTCAACTTATGCATTTAAATTTAGTATTTAATGTAAGTTTAATAAGTTTTAACAACTTATGCAGTTTTCTAATATATAAATAATATATTAGTTAATATTTAGTGTAAATTAAAGAATAATATAATATCACTACGTATGTATTATTACTCTTACATTTACTTATTTTGCATCAATAAAAATAAAATCTGAACCTAAAAATGAAGGTGCTTCTAAGGAAGAGATAAATAATGTTTCCAGAACCTATTTTGCTAATATATCATCAGCAGGATGTTTGTTTCGATCTTCTGCTTCAAAATCGCAGTCCCATTCTGACGACATAAAAATCTAATTATTTTGATATTCAAATTGATTTTTTTGGAATCTCAAATTTATCCATTCTTGGATTAACTGATCCTATTTTTGCTCTTCTTTTCCGGTAATTATATCTTCATTATTATTGCAGAATTTTCTTCTTCATCATTGCTAACTTAATAACATGTTTCTTTATCATTTAATTCAGGTTCCATAATTTTATTTTCAGAAACAATTGGTGTAGCTATATGAAGACGTTGCATTTTTCATTCATATATCTTGGCCTCTTTTATTTTACGAGCTTGTAAAATATCACTCCTAATTTGGCTTATTGCAAAGACTTTTTTTAACTATTTTATGCGAATTCAATAATATATAGTAAAATTTAGTTTGTATTCATATTAATATAGCACATATATATACATACATCTAGCCGATTTCTTAAGTTTGTATACAATAGCTCTATCGATGACTACAAACATTCTACAGAGGCTGAATTAATGCAGATGCCATGAATGCGAATAGCAACTTTTGCTAATTCAGGGCCTATACCACTAGTTGATTCCCAGAAATCTATTAAATTTTCTTTAAATTGTTTAAAAGAATCTATATCATATGGATCTATTTCTCATTTATATTTAATTAATTCGGCTAGAATTGAAACAGGTTTAGACTCAAACCAAGCTTCATAGTAATACTTTAACTACTGCCCAATATGAGTTCATGAAAGATCTTTAACTGACTCATGAAACCGTGATAGCTTATAAATAAGGATGTAATACAAATGAAAGAATTAATAATGGTTGCTCCTATTTTTTCTAATGGGATTCTATATGTGTAACTATTTTTGAGCTAAATTCAATATTTGAGTGATTGCTTAATAACTTTATTGCATATGCAAAGCAATGAAGAACTTCATGAATATGTGCTGTATTCTTTTGCAATTTATTTAGAAATCCACAAAGTGGATATAATATATCTTGAAGCTCAAATAATACTGACCAAAATTCTGAATCATTAATTATGTCAGCAATATCATCAGGTAATTTGCGGTCGCCACCTTGAGTAATTGATTTATTATTGGCTGGTTGATTTGGAATACCATTTGTTCGAGTTACATTTGCACAATAATCATTAAATTTTGCTAAAATAAATTTAAGTGCAGCTTGTGATTTTAGTATTGAACAAAAACAAAAATAATAAGAGTTCTATCTAGTATTTGCAGGTTCAATTAAATTAACAGTTTTTTGTAAATTCTCATTTGTTCACTATGAAGATTTTCTGTAAAAAAAACTGATCGGCAAAAAAAACTAACGAGACATATTGCTTCCTTTGAAACTCTTTTATATAATTCAGATTCTTTAAAAATTTTTCCAAAAAGCAAATTCATTTGATGTGCCATGCAAGGCAAAAATATTTTTGAAGTATATTTTCTTCACAAATGACATCGTGCAGCTGCATATTCCCCTGCTAAGTCAGAAACAAGCACTTTAATATTAATATTTTTAAGACTAGCTTCATCAATAAAATTTCAATATGTCGTATAACATTTTCAGTTTTAGAGCGTTCAATACTTATATCATACGCATTCCATATTAATGACTGCCTTAGTGTAGTTATAAATACTACTCCTAATATATATTCCTGCTTCACATTCGTCTACCCATCCAATACTGCAGTTACTCTGTCCATATCACTGCTTGCTACTTTAATAATATCATTACAAAATGTTTGTGCACTTTTAATTAACACTTTATCACTTATAACTTTTCTTTTTGGCAATTCAAGTTCTGGAGCAATAAACTGGAATAATTCTAATATTTCTTCATTTTCAACAAAAGTAAATGGTAAAGCATTTGAAACAATCATCTGAAGTAAAAGTTCTTCAAAATGCGATCTATTATTAGATGACAAAGGATGACACAAAAATTTGGTTATTAATTGATTAGGACTTGATGTGGAAGAACCTGATCGTGCGATTGTAAAAGTTGTAGAGGATTGTCCTTGCTTTATTACTGGTACAAAAATTTTATCATTATCCTCATAATCATTTGTATAAAAAATTAATATTTAAAAAAATCATTAATATTTTTTAAAAAAGATATTAAAATTGCAATATATATATATAAACTTAAATCTATATACTATCTATATCTTTCTTTTTTTTTGTCCTCAAATACTGGTAATGATAAAATTTGTTCAATTTCTTCTGCAGTATTGGCTTCAAGAAAACTTTTGCACTTTGATAAATGATTTCGACATAATCATCCATGATTTGAAGTACTGCATTCAGGTTTGATTTTAGCTGCTTCTAAACTACTATTTTTAGCTATACACCAATTACATATAGCAAGTGCATTTGTAGGATTGCTAGGATTTTTTACTAAGGTAAAAAAATCTTGAAAATTATGTTTTAACATTATAAACTTTTTTATGTATATCAAAGAAAGCAAAACTTGAGGTGGCTATAGTTTATAACTAAAATATAAAATTACTCAAAATAAGGTATAGAAAACTTGTCAAATTTCTTTGAGCACTATTAAAGAATAAATAGCTTATTTTATTTTATCTGTTTTTTATATTTTTATATCTTCTTAATGTAGTTTCACTTTTAATTATTATAATTTTTACTCAATTATTCTTCATCTTACTAGCCTGAAACCTTATTGTCATATTTTAGATTCATATCCAATTTGGTACTTGTGCCTCATCTATATTTGTTCGATTGGGAGAAGATACATGCATGCATCTAGAATATGATCATTGATTGTACATATATATATACATACATATGTTGTAAAAGTTTGAAATTGTGTCAGGTCTAAATAATACAACTAAAACTTAACTAAACTACTCTAACTCGAATACCACAACTAGTAC